ACCAGTTGAAGGCTCCTGAAGTCTTATGCCTTCCCCTCAGGGTCCAAGGACCCAAATAAGAGGGTTTTAGGGTCCAAATACCATTAATAGTATAGTATTTGGGCCCTAAAACCCCGTTATTTGGGTCCTTGGACCCTTACATAGTCCCCTAATATCCCCATATTGTCCCCCTAGAACCCCTTAAAGGGAACCTATTATTTGGGTCCTTGGACCCTCAGGGAGCAGGTACATACATAAAAATGCGGACGCCCGTCGGAGAAGTGCTAGCAGAATTGGCTTCTGCCTGTTTGGACTGTACTTTGCAGGCTTTAGGGTTTAGGGCGGAGAATGGGCTGCAGAATCAGGCTTTGCCCACGAAGCCACCTATTCAGCCAGAACACTGCAAGGATTCCTCATTGTCAGGCACAGGGTCCCTTTCAAGGTATAGGGGTGATGTAGGGTTGTATAGGGATATACGGAGGTGTTACGGAAGTTCGATCCACAGAGCTACTTGCAGGAAGACTTGTATATTGTCCTCTACATTAGCCCCCCTTCTCCCCCTAGATTCCTAGCTTGAAAATATATCCATTAAAAATGGAGTAGGGGCGACAGCTCTTGCAGGGCCGAGGAAGATCGGACTTGAAGGGATTCTCACGCGGCAAATCACGTAGGAGGTCTGTACCCGAGGGATGGCCCAGCAAGTCGAAACTCTTGGAGCGGTGATGTATAATACCCCAAGAACAGAGAATCAAATGGACATAAAATGGAAAACGCCATGGAAACGGTGGTCTATTTAGGAGACCCATGTCGAGATGGCAGCTCTTGTTAGATATTCCCGTTGCGGAAGTATCCTCATCTTAGGTAGTATATAGGGCATCTTTGAATTGGCAAGCCTCCCACGTGACTGCGTGAACCGAAGACAAAGCCCTTAACTGCATTATCGCTATCCCCTATATAGATCCCATTGTCCATGTATTTTCCATTCTTGCTTTATTCGCCACCATCCAAAAACCCTGAGCAGCAGTTTCAGTGTGTTTCCATGTTCTTTTCACTTTGACTCTCCTTTATGTAGACGACGTAGACCCTCAAGTCTAAAGCGGTATACTTCCCAAGCCGCAAACCTGAACCGCGCAAGCATCAAACCGATTGATTGCCCATGTCGTCCCAGATTCGCGCTACTCGCACATAGGGCCCAAGGAGGTTCCCACATGGCTACCCTGGGGCCCAAGTATATACCATACAGCTACATTGACCCTTGGGGTAAGGATTAGTATAGGGTAGCTCAAACGGACATCAAGCTGATATCGGTAACCAAAAGGCCCCTGGAGTACACAATCCGCTGAAAGCCCTATACTAGGAAGAGTTTCCATTCAATGTGCATTGTGCTTGTCCATTTGATTCTTCCTCATTCTATCCTGATATGGACCCTACCTAGACCCTTAAACCCTACCCTACCCCTTTTTAGGGTAACAAATTTTGTATATAGTGCATACTAGACATAAAGTTAGGTAACTTAAAACAACGGGTAGGGTGTAGGGGTCTAGGTATGTCCCCTCCCCTAGTCCCTTAAGCCTCAGACCGCATAGCCAACTGAGATTGGAGCGACGTGGATGATAGCCAGATGCCCGAGCCCCAGACCTTTCAAGGTTTCTCAAGGGCGCCCTTGGCAATTCGGTGGCCGCATAAATCTTTGATATATGATATATGTAACCTTAAGGTCCAAGGACCCAAATATTGGGGGTTTAGGGCACAAATACCATGAACATTATAGTATTTGGGCCCTAAACCCCCATTATTTGGGTCCTTGGACTTTTAGGGTAACATATCTGGAGACAAAGCAGCCTCAAACCCTGGGGGCTCCATGTCTATAAAGAACACCTACATTGGGCCCCAATGCCTATAGATAGTACCTACCTTGGGCTATTTTCATCCCTAGGAAACGGGATCATGGAGGGTTTAGGGGTTCCTCTTCGGGCCGTTCGAGGGGGCGTGGTTCTGGGCCTTAGAGCCTAAACCCATCAAACCTACGCCTCCCAATGAGGATTAGGGTTTAGGGATTAGGGATTAGGGTTTAGGGATTGGGGTTTAGGGTTTAGGGATTAAAGGATCATAATCCCCCTAGGGCTCCCAGTTACCTAAAGAAGAGGAACTGGGTTCTATATACACGACAGTTACATAGCCCAGGACTCTACTATTTAAGGTCATCGGGAGCCCTGGGGATTTGTTGAGGTTGAGGGTTCAGGGTTGTAGTGTCGGAAGTTGAGAGTCCTGCGAGGGCGTCCGCTTGGTTTGCGTTATTTTACGTCAGCAGTATTTGAGGCAACCTTAATGTTGAGACATACCCATACAGGCCCTAGAGGGGCTTGAAGGAAACTTCCGACGACCCCTGGGGCTTAGGGGACTGGACTTTGGGGCCCCCGCGCTCAACAGTTACACAGCCAGCGTCGCGGGCTTGCAGAATCATTTTGGAGTCACAGCCTTCGCTAGCAGAATCGCCGGACTTGCGTAAGTTGAGCAATGTCCGACGACAGCTTCGAAGCCCAACGTTGAAAGGGACCTACCAGCATTGCATGTTTATGCCTCCAAGGCATGTCTGTTGTTGAAGGTTTAGGGCTTTGGGGTCTTGAAGAGTGAGATCATCTTGCTTCAATTGGCCACAGATGGTTCCATGAGACAATATTCACTGTTGAAAATAACCTGTGAGGCTGCCTTTTTTTTTCCGAGTTCGTATTCAGCTACAAAAAAGCCACCTAAATCCGCAATCCTAAGCGTTAGGACCGTTAGGAGCCCTAAGCCCTAATTACCTCAGCTTCTAATCAAACTCCCCAAGCCGCTCACCCCAAACAGACAGCCATACGTCCTCAGCAGATTATGAACTTTGAGTCAATTACAACCATACCTGATGTCCTACAATAATGTGGGGATGTACCAATCAAAAAAGGAAGGACAAAACAAGGGCGGACATCCAGGGTTTATAGGGTTCAGGTACATAGTTTGCCAGCTTCTTAGGTACGGTCGTAGTCCAGGTATAAGTGCCGACTGCGCCCGATGGATCTCCAAATCTCTGCATACTAAACATAGTAAATCCTACCTAGAGTAACCAATGTACCTATAGAACAATGTTCTGTACCTGATATGCTGGCATCTTTACCTTCTGTTAAGGGTCCGGGTTACTCTAGGTAATTCCTAACTAAACCCTAAACCCCTAAACCCTACACCTAAACCCTGAACCCTTAACTCCTAAACATACTGAGTCCCTCGCAAGTGGCCATGTGGGAAATCAACCAGACCAGGCTGGCAACTGGAAAAAATCAGTTTTCCTGACTTGCCGGGGGTACCTTTCAAGGTGAATTTAGTACTTCTATAGGGATATATAGGCTTTAGGGCTTAGGGCTTATGCTGGTAGAAGGTTGCATGAAAAACGTGGGACATTGTAACAAGAGATAGAACAGCTGGGGCTGTTCAGGGGTTACGTCGGGGCTGAAAGACATTGCGCCGCGCTAACCTCATGGAGTTTCCTGGAGAGCAAGCCAGCTTCAGGTTTTAGACAGATTTTGCTGAGGCGCTTAGTGAGTTCTACGCATGAATGACATAGGATTGTGCGGGGTTTGAACGGAATGGACAGAGAGAGAAGGCTGCACAATTTTGGGTTTCGAGCCTTGTGTGCGTGTGTGCTAGTTCGGGTGCGGAATTTCAAGGCTTGGGACTCATCGCTTCTGAAGTTGTGTTCTTGGCTGTTGCTCGTGCCATCGTTGCTATAAGGATGGTTATTTGAGAGCCAAGACTTGGCATGGTGTGTCTGGCTAACTTGTTGTTAAGTCTCATCTTGTCTTGCGTTGAGGGCTCGATGACTTTTATGTTGGAGAGTTGCAGTTCCTAGAGGGTCCATGTACCCAATAATTAGGTAAATGGGATTTGGATAACAGTAATTGTAGTACTGGATTTGGGTAAGTATTTGATTATCAGGTACTTGGACCATCTTGGACCCTTACGAGGTACCCCAGTAGTACCCTTTTTTCCTTCTTGTTTGGAGGTCTCCTTATATAAGCTGAATATTAGGAAAAAAAGGGTACCCTCATTATTGAGGGGTTACTGGGGAACTTAGATTAGGGCTTGACCAGTAAGCCTGAAAGTCCTCCGTATAGTACTTTCCAGTTTATTGTCCATTATCCTTATATAGCCCCAATATGTACCCTACAATCTCTAAACCCTAAACCCTAGTTTCCATGCCCTGCATCCTTAAGCTGCCGGTTTGATGCAGGGATCTTTTACTGCAGCACGTGTTTTCATGGCAAACCTACAACCCGAATTAGGTGGTTGTCAAAGTTATGACCCTTGTTTGGGTACCCACCCTAAATATTGGGTGCCGTATAAAAATTGGGATCCAAAAAGGGATCATAATTTTGACAACCTCTCAATAACCTACAGTTCCACTCAACAGTAGGTCATTGGGGTTGCAGGCAAAAAATCCTGAAGCACGTTGTTTTCTTCGTGCCGTATGGTATTGCTATGAAGTGTCAGTGTTTCTTTCGAACCCTAAACCCCAAACCCACTAGGGGAGTTTGGACCCTGTACACACTCCTTGCACCCCAATATGCTATAATCCTTGTTGGGAAGACCCCCCTAGATGGGATCCCTATTCTTTCGGTTTTCCCATCATCCTCCCTGTTTTCCGTGGTGCGTGAGCACCGTTCTCCATCCTCCGCCTCTTGCTTCGATAGCTACGAACCTTCGTCGTGTAGAGCTGCTGCTAAATTCCCTAAGGGTCCAAGTACCCAATAATCATATGCTTACCCAAAATCTGTACTATGACTACTATTACCCAAATCCCAAGCACCTTATTATTGGGTACTTGGACCCTTAGGGATTCCTATGAACCTGTAGGACCTAAAGCTCTCCACAACGTTACAGAGGCAAACGTGGCCTGTAAGAGTTTCAGCTTATGAGGACCCATATGATCTATGTAGCTGTATGGTTAGGGTTTAGGGTTTAGGGTTTAGGGTTTAGGGTTTAGGGCCCTAAAGTAGCTGTATGGGAGCCCCATTGGGCCAGAGTATATACCACATAACTACATGGACCCTTTGGGGGGAAGCATCTATTTGTAGAGGCGATCATACATGTCAGTGCAATCGTCGTGTATCAAGATCCTGTTTATGGACGAGCGCTTGCGCTGCCGAAGGTACCTAAAGTGCTGTGATTCCCCAAACTTCAGGGACAGCAGGCGTTCAGTCGGTGGTGCCAGGTTTGCAGGCATCCCCGACAGAGGACGGTACCTTGGAAGCTTTGAATCCTCAATAGCTGGTTTTCCTGGGCTGCAGCTGAGACTTGTAATTCTTTCTTGCCATGATTTTTACAACACACCCCCACTCCTAATATAAAATATCTCCATACGAGAATTTGTCTTGAATTATGCGTTATGGGACATAAATCATTTAAGGGTGGGGGAATGTTGAGAATCAGCATGAATGAGCTATGTAGCACCAAGGGGAATGTAACATATTCCCCGGGTATCCGACCACCTAACACACACATCTAAATGCAGCTACTTGGAGGGTCAGGGTTAAGAAGGGGCGGGAGTACTGGGTAACTGGGGTCATTATATGGCTTCTAAAAGTTTTTATCCTACTTACTAAGCCCCCCCCGACCCTCCAAGCGCCGGAATCCGAATCAGAGCTTGCGGAGTCCTTCGGATTCAGATGAGCTATAATCTAAACTCCTAAGGGAGTTCTATAGGGGATTGTATAGGGAACTACTATAAGGATTCTTAAGGGGGATAGTAGGAGTTTAGACTATAGCTCAAATGAGGATGATGGACTCTGCCAGGGCCCTAATGACAGGCCAGCCCCTCAACTCCTTCATAGAAGAGCTCATATCAAACCCTAGGGCTCCAGTTACCTAAATAATGGGAACTGGGTTCTCTATACCCTATAGTTACATATCCCAGTAGCCTACTATTTAGGTAGCTGGGAGCCCTAGGGAAAGCTCTTCGGGAATTTCTTACAGAGACTTTGAGGTGGTCCGCTGAGGAAGCTTGGGGTTGCATATGCAGTCCTTAATACGGACCCCCCATAATCTTACTCTCAGCGCTCATATATATATATATATACACCTAAGGCCACCCTAAACCCTCAAGCCTCAAGACCCAAATGCTAAACCCTAAACCCTAACCCCCCCCTGAACAACTCCTTGGGAGGTTCTTTGGGAGGGCAAGTCGCCTGCCCGGCCACTGGCTCCGGATGATTTCCAAGAAAACCAGGAAGATGTACTACACAAATGCTGCTGCCTCAGCTGTGGAATTTAGATTTATGGGCTCATTTAGAGCTTAGGGCTTAGGGGTTGGGATCTAGGGCTTAGGATTTAGGGCTTATAGGGGATAGAATTTAGGGCTCAGGATTCAGGGCTTATGGTTCAGCCCTTCGGGTTTGGGATTTAGTGTTTAGGGCTAAGTGCCTGGGGCTATATAGGGCGATCCAGGGGATATGTTGGGGTTACAAGTTTTCTAGGGATTATGTAGAGATATACACAAACGCTGCGACCTCGATTTGTCTAGGTTGCTGCTGAAACCAGGTTGCCACAACGGAGAATCAAACGAAGCAGAAAGAAATTGCGTAGGCACTACAGGAACTTAATGCCACAATATTTTTGTTTAGTACTTTGAAGGTCCTCCTCAACCCTGAACATTAAACCCTAAATGCCACCTCCTACTCCCCCAATAACCCTGGGCCCTTTGTTGTGATAACTTAGGTTAAGCTTCTTCACAGCAACTCCGTTATGTGGATTTTCCTTTGAGGCTTTACCCCACACTGTAAGCCCCACGAAATTCGCCCTCTACACCCTTCTACTTAGAGACTCCAAGCAGGGTTTAGGGTCCAAGGTTTCAGATGCCTACCTGGGTTTAGGGTTTAAGATTTAGGTAGAGATTGACCCAAGAGGAGGTGAGCTACTTGCTGACGAGCTCGCACCCTTTATACAGCAAGTACCTAGCAATCAGGTGCGTCCCCAAAACCTGTGCTATGATTTACTATAGTACCCAATCCCCAAATGTCTAATTCTTGGGCTACTTGGACCCTTAGGAAAAGAGGTGTTGATCATGATGTGATGCGCACCTTTCTCATAAAGCATCTGCTTTTATCATCGATTCGGACACTGTATGCCACGAAGTGCCGCGAGGCTTGTGTAGTAGTGAACTGAATCATCCTGGATCGCACGGTGGATACTATCAAAGGCTTATGTAGGGGTATGTGTATATATATATATGTATAAAAGGGGGGGGTCCTAAGTTAGGGGTACCTTTTTGGGGATCCCCTTAATAAGGATCATAGTATATTAGAAGTTGGATTCCTATTGATGGTCACCGGCCCAACCACTCCATTAAAGATCTGCCCCCTAAACCCTAAACCGTAAACCCTAAACCCTAAACCCTAGCCTTAACACCCTAAACCAAACGAAGGGTGAGTCGTTGCTGCCATTAGGCCTCCCAACTTCTTTTGATCCACAGAGCTGAATGAACCTTTATAGTCCCCTCTTAAGAGAATAGGGTTTAGGGTTTAGGGTTTAGGGAATATGGGGTATATGGGGATCTTATTTTAATAAGCCCGAAGCCATATTCTATCTACTAAAGGGGATTATAACCGTGTATTCAGTTGCCCCATTGTTAGTCGTCCTTGCCTGGGTGTGTCCCGCATACCTCGCAGTCTGACCCAAAGGCTCCGGGGTGCTTTTTTGTGATAATAGAGAACCACATGGGAAAAGATATGGAAAGTTTCACAAAACTGGAAATTTGCAGGCGTCTACAGGTACAACTACCAATATTCTGTATGAGCAGAAATACTGGAGACCTTGAGGGATTACTAGAGCACGTAGGTACTTTTGTCCCTTGTCCCCTGAGTGGAACTGGGAGCCTTTGGGTAAAATCACGCGTGAGGTTAAAAACATGGCCAGCACCTTCGACGTGAGGGATTGCTTCCTTCACGCTCGTGCGGAGGAAGCGGTAGCGGTGTGAAAAAATAGAAATGCCCTAGGGGTTCAAGTACCTAATAACCAGATGCTTGTCCAAAACCTGTACTCTAATTATTATACTAGTTACTAGTACCCAAACCCAAGCATCTAATCATTGGGTACCTGGACCATAAACCCTAAACCCTATATGCTCTTGTGTACCCCTGTATACCCCTATATACGTCCGCCTCAAAGGGACCTTATTCTATACCCTATTTAACCCCTTATAGTAGTTTCCATTTTCTTCTCCACTATCCCCGCATAATCCCAATATAATTCGAATATTGCCCCATATTCTATCAACTTAAGGGGTACTTGGACCCTTAGGGATGGCAAGCTTCTGTCTGCAGTTCCAGTACCAAGAATCCAGTACCTGACTTCATAGACATTGGGTCAAGTGAGGGCTTAGGGTTTAAGGTTTAGGGTTTAGGGTTTAGGGCTTAGGGTTTCGGGCTTAGGTCTAAGGCTTAGGGCTTAGGACAAAAAAGTCACATAGCTCAGCATGGAGCGGTGAGATAAGCTGCAACCTGGCTACCATCATTGCAGGTGGAAACTCACGCCCTACTTCAGGGGGCGAAGTTTCCCACTAGTACACACCCATGCCCCAAGGATTTGTAGAGCCATTCGTTCAGGCCCCTAAGCTCTAAACCCTACAGATCCTGAACCCTATAGATCCTAGTCCTTCATCCTTCATCCTTCTGTCCGAAACCATGCTGCATAGATACTCAGGCCCCTAGGGGGAGTCTTTTAGAGTTCAAGGTTTAGGATTTGGGGTTTAGGGTGCTGTTATGCCAAAAGCTCCATGGTATCGGGATGATTTCCATTGCTTTGCTACGGTGGTCCACACGGTTCAGGGTTTTGACTTAGGGCCATGTAGTCCCGTAGGACCCACAATATGTGCGCTTAGCCTTTTTGTTGGGGAGCGCTACAGGGCCTTGCAGGTACATATAGAGTATATACGGGCTACGAAGGGATCCCAGGATGGAGGACCATGTCTCGGGGCACACGATGTTGGATTACTTACAAGCCTCATCTACTATAGAGCGTCCATGTACCAAATTTGGGTACCAAAGGCCCATTCAGGTTCGTGTGTTCTCTGTGAATTTAAAGCCCCCGCTTCTGTTGCCTGGGCTATTTGACTTACAAACGGGACATGCTTGAACAGATGCTCAGAATCTGAGTATAGAATTTGCGCTGCTTTGCAGTACATGGGTTATTCTCAAAGTATGGGCCTTTGTTGGTTGTGAATGATATAACTTGGCACTTAATGTATAGGGGTACCAAAATGGGACCCTAAATTTGGCAACTCCCTACATGTCCGCAAGCAGCACCGGAGCTTCAAGGCATTCGCGGGCAAGCGCATCTGGCCAAGCACGAACAGACAAGCCTCTTGATTTATCTTTTCCTGGTAGCCGCACGCTGACCCACGAAATAGCTTGTTTCCTTATTTAGACTTTTTGCAAGAAAGGTATGCTTTTCAAATTATTCTTCTCGGTTCTTTCATGGACTTTTCCATATCTGCTCAGGTTCATGAAGTTGTAACCGACATGGAACTTGCGAAGCGAAGAAGAGGCAAACATTGCTACTTGCAAAATGGGCAGCACAGACAAGAATTCATTCCACGAGCGCAGCGCCGTGCAGACCTCAATTTGCTGGTGTTGAGGCTAGCTTTTCGATTAGGGCCGACGTATTTGAACGGACTGCCCGTTATGGTGCAATTATACAGGTAGCCAGTTATGTGCCTGTTGGTTCTCATTGAAGGTTTCTGCATAGGACCAATATGGAGGTTTCCAAGATTAGGGGTAAGGACTATGGGGTTTTGGGGTCCATATAGAATCCCGTTTAATCATGGACTTACCTTAAATAAGGTTCCACACTGGTCCATGGTTTTTGAAGTCTCAAGGCAGAGATCGTGTCATTGATGGGCGGGTCAGATTGCGTGGGGTGTTGAGGGGTTCCTCCATGTTTGCCATGCACTTGGTTAACTTCAAGCCCTACCTGAACCCCAAAAGTATGTAGAATAAAGACCTTTTGGCCATTTTAGGGGTTTTGGGCTATCATTTTTCCTGCTTTTAGGGTCTAGGTAAACTCTAAGCCCTGGAGCTTCGAAGCGTTTCTGTTCAACTTGGGGGCTCGAAGCATGCACAAACACACGGCCCCCACACTTGGAGCATTAGGCACTTCCTAGTCCTAAACCCGAAAAGTAGGTACAATAACAGCCCCAAAACCCTACAAACTGCACAAAAGGCCATTATTCTACATACTTTGGGGTTCAGGTTGGACCCTCAGAGTAGGGTGACCTAAACCCTAAACCCCCAAACCCTAAATCCTAAACCACGTCCCAAGGATCCTCAAAGCTGCAGGTTCACTTGTTCCCGCTGCAGGAGTCGTGTCGACACCTCGGCCTTGAATCCGGGGTTCTATCGGTCTGGGGTTACCCTAGGGCTCTAGATAGCCCAATGTAGAAGGGTTAATGGTTTAGGGAATCTTGCCCCAATAATCGCGAAGCGTGGCGGAAAGGACAAGTTGAAAATTTAGCGGAATCCGGGCCTACGTAGGGAGTTATGGGGTTGGTAATAACCCTTCGTGACCCTAAGTTGCTTATGTAAAACGTGTGTAAGTTCAGCAGAGGAGCCTGGACTTTTATAGGCTTCGTCATTCTGGCCTCGCAACTTCAGTTTGTCAACGTTCTGCCATGGCGTTGTTAGAGTTTTCAGTTTTTGCTGCGCTGACTCCCTTTCACTGGCCTACCATGACCATGCGGATTAAGCGCAAGGATGTTGTCAATGTCAGCATTTGTCAGCATTTTGCGAGGCAGATCACTTGAGGAGTCTCCAGCACCCAGAGGGTAGAATCACCTAGGTGGGGTACATCTGGCCCCAAAAGTGCTTACATTGTAATCCCTGAAGGTGCCAAGTCCCTTCCATTCAATTACTTGGAGCCTTTGCGGCATAAAGTCTGTTTTAGGGCACCTCTTTTATGGATATCCCACCTCCACGTCGCTTGCTGAGCGTTCACCAACACTTTGAGGAAGAGACCATGCTATTCAGCTAGGGTCCTACTGATTCTGTTGCAGGTCTGAGGTTGCAGGTTTGTGGATGATGAGGGCATGTGCGGCGGGGTGGGGTATCCATGAATTAATGACAGCTTTCGGGAATCTACGCGAGTAGTGTTGTAGATAGTGATGCCACAGACTTCCCCATTTGGCATGGTATTTTGCGAAGGACTCATCTTACCTTGTTAAACTAGAAACGCGACTCATGTATACTAATGTAATCCTTGTATTGCTGAGGGCATCCTAAACCCCAAGCCCTCAACCTGAAGCTACCCCAAACCCTAAGCCATCAACCCTAAACCCTAAATGGTAGCTTCCACTTTATGTCCACTACCCCTCTATTACCCCAAATAGCCCCATAACCCCGCACATGTCCCCAGACCCAGAAGTCTGTATGTGTCAAGGTTTTGTGTTTAGGGTTGGGAGCATTCTGGGATTATACATATAGGGTTATACGGGGGTGGCTAGTTTTCAGGGTTTCCAAGAGATCGTTAAGGGTGGACGTAGGGGTGACTTTGCTAGTTTTGAAAAGTCCCTGGTAGATTCCCTAACAGAAGCCCATGTCCAGTAACTAATTATATCCTCTGGCTACGAAGGCACCCCCGAGCCCTGTACCTGTTTTTGGGGTTTAGGGCTTAGGGTACGTCTGTCAAAGTTAGGCACACTGTACAAGGAGTCACTTCCCACATCAGTCTTTGCCCGCGAGTGCCAGTTGGTGTGTTGCTTCTTGGCAGCCTTGATTTGAGGATGCCCATAAAAGCAATTGCGCTAGCAGCAGAACCCGGCCACCAAACAACAGAAGTCTGAGGCTTGAGCAGTTGCGAGACTTCTAGCATAGCAATGGGTTGGAACATGTTGATGGCACTATTTAGATCTCCCATGCCAAGTTGGCGTGAAGAGCAGCGACGTCTTGGATGCTTTGCATGAGGCCGGTACCTCTGACACAGGTGTGGGCGATGCTAATTACGAGGACAGTCTTAAAACGGCTTTCGCCTTACCCCTAAACCCCAAGTCTGCACCGTGACGAGTCCTGCCATGAGCTTTCTGGTTTTTCGTAGCTGAACGAGAGAAGTGCTGCTTGTTCTAGGGACCCTCCACTCCTCCGACACGACTTGCCGGCTTGACAGGGACCGCTAGTGTAGTAGCGAAGAAGCCTGGAGAACTACCACATGTTTCTCGTACAGCTCTGGTATAGTAATGTGGTAGACCCCTTAACCTTATTCTAATTAAGTAGGGCCCTACCGTGCCCATGTGCTTAAGCGCTATGCGCATGAAACTGGATACATCATTTGGGGCTGCAGCGTGCAGCTGTATTCTTTAGCCTTTGAGAGAAAGGCTTCTGCTAAACCGTGTTTCTTTTTAGCCACGCTGTCGGAACCCTTCAATTTCTTGCTCAGGTGTTTCACAGACATGGCCAGTTAGGGTAGTTCCCTAAACCCTGAGCCCCTACGTAACCCTAGAAAGCTCCTGACGCCAACCCCCGAGCTTTGCCCCGAATTCTCTACCTTTGGGCGATGCCCCCCACTCAGTGCCTGTCCTATGCAGGGCTCCCAGGAAGTGTATGTTAGTACGTTTACTACTAGTATCAGATTTTTAGCACTGTGCTTGTAGCTATTATTGTCGTTGCAAGTATCATTGCGATTGCACCTCTGTTATGACTTAGTACCGCCATTTTTTTATTATTCGTGCTACTATTCTTGTAATAGTTACAACTATCAGTGTTATTACTACTTATTACACTTCTGCTTTGTCTATTTACTCTTATTACTATTCGTGCGACTGTTATTGCTAAGTTTACAAGTGTAGGGTTTAGGTTTACAAAATGAATTGACTGTGTGGCACGGCCAGGTCCGACCTCCACCTCAATCCTTGTCCCAGGCTCCTTATTGGGATCCACCATACCCCAAAGGTCCAAGTGCCCAAAAAGCACTGCCTTGAGTGCT